GCTTGCTACAGGCGAAGAGGAAAGCCTGGCACAAGTGGAAGGTCTCCTTGAAGGATTCCGATCGCAGTTCTTACTTGGCATTGAGAAACAGATGCAATGCCAAAGTTCGAAGCGACAGGAGACGATTCCAGACGATACTGGCCGCCAGAATAGAGGCAAACCCGAAACATCTGTTTAGGTTCATGTCCAAAAGAAAACCTTCAACACCCATTTTCTGCTCAATTAAACCAGGCGCCTACATGTTCAGAGTATTACGCCAACCCAATGCCAGCTGACGGCTTAGGGAACATCCGTATAACTCCTGACCTAGTATTAAGGAAACTAAAATCCTTACGCTCAGGTAAGTCACCAGGTTGTGACAACATCCGCCCTATAGTCTTGCAACAATGCGCTGAAGCCCTCTGTTCACCGTTATGCAACCTCTTCAGGCATTCACTGAAGTCACACCAATTCCCAGCGGAATGGAAACAAGCTACTCTCTCTCCAATCTTCAAACGATGAGATAGAAAGGACCCAGCCTGTTACAGACCAGTTGCACTACTACCTATATTATCAAAGGTTATGGAAGGGCTAGTGGACGAACAAATGAGGGAGTACATGGATAAGAATAAAATACTCCATGAAGCTCAACACGGGTTTCGGAAAGGCAAGTCAAGTGCATCTAATCTTCTCATCGCATGGGACAGTTGGACATCCTGCTTGGACCGTAAAATACCAGTGCACGTAGTATTTCTCGACTTCGCAAAAGCCTTTGACACAGTGCCCCACACACGCCTAATCGAAAAGGTTGTGGAAATGGGCCTCACTGACCCACTCGTATCTTGGCTCAGAAACTACCTTGAGAATAGAAAGTTTCGCACCAAGGTAAACAGGGTGCACGCGAGTCGGAGAGTATCCACTTCAGGAGTTTCACAGGGGACCATCCTAGGCCCACTCCTCTTCCTGATATTCATTAACGACCTGCTAAGCTTAGTTAGCTCACTGGCACTGATCTACGCGAAGATCTGGAGGTCCATTAGAAGCGAAGAGGATTCGACTGAGCTTCAAAAGGACCTTACATCCATTGAGAAATGGGCAGTGAAAAACGGTTTAAAACTCAACCAACCGAAGTGCCACGTCATGCATTTCCTGCCTCATATGACGCAAACCACCTACACTCTCAATGGAAGTCCGCTCCCTAATGTCTCCTCAGAGCGCGATCTTGGTTTAATAACCACAGAAAGCCTCCACACGAGTCCGAACTATGTAGGGGATGCAGACAAGACAAATGCGACTCTTCACTTTATGCGAAGACAGCTTGGTGCTATAACCCCGAAATTATTTTTAACCCTCTTTAAGACGTACGCGCGCCCGCACTTGGAGGTTCACAACGTCATCGCACCCGCTCTGCTTAAAAGAGACATTAATCGCTTGGATCGAGTGCAGAGACGAGCAACGAAATGTGTGATAGGGTTGAAAAATAAACCGTACGACAATAGACTCCAGCTCTTGGGATTATTCCCACTGAGCTACAGGAGAATCAGAGGTGACCTTATTATGGCGTACACCATATTAAACACGCTAAATCATCCCAATGTGAGCATCTTACCGATGCATCACCACCACTCCCCTCGAGGCAATCCTCAAAAGATTGCACATCAAAGAGCAAACACTCAGATTCGTGCACACTTTTTCTCATTGCGAGTCGTCGCAACTTGGAATGCTCTCCCAGCCGAGGTAGTTACAGCCCCCTCAGTGGACTGCTTTAAGAAGAGACTTGATAATCACGTACTCACATGCGGACTATCATCTCCCTCTTGGACAAGCTGTGCCTGATGCATATCTTGAGACCTGCTAGTTGTTACCGCTGCCATCTCCTCAGATCACTTAATTAATCTAACTCGCCTATTTCTCTCCCTTGCTTACACTTCGGTCCTCTCTCACAATCTTCACTACCAATTAATAAACTAAATTCATCAGTTCTGAAATTTTACTCATATTATCATTTTAATTTACCCTTATTACCCTTATTACTCTCCACATTGCAACTAACTGATCTCCGGTTTGGTAATGTGACGGCTGCTAGTTTACATAAACCCTACTGCCCTGAAACAAACGTTTCATTCAAATCCCGAGACATACAAACTCACAACCAACTGCCAACTGACTAGAATTAGACAGTCGAGTGGCTAGACCTCCATCGATTGGACATTACTGAACACCTGTAACCGTACCAGAAGAACAAGAATCGAGCGCGAAGAAATCAAATTGGTTTACACTAGCTCGTGAAAAAGATATTGGATATTGGATCTGAGTCAAGGTTGGCGGGATTCTGGTCCCTGTTCAAGGTTATTCTTTTGTAACTCTTTCGAAACCTTACTCTAGCAACTTCTAGTTTTGATTCTTTATTTCTGGTTACTGTCTATCGCTTTCTCTATTGAATGTAAGTGAATTCAGTGTGCTAACCAAGCCGTTCGGTCACCTTTTACTCTTGTTCTCTCATCTTCTAGATTACCTCACACTTTGCTCCACAGACACCACAGCACACGAGGTGCCTCCTTGCCGAACGCATATTAACCAAAGCCTGAATTTACACTTTCAGTTTCCTTGAAGATGGATATCGGAAGTCTTAGGCAAATAATTCACAGTAAATTTTAGTCGTTGGAAAGATGGAAGAACCTCAAATAGCATTTGTGGGATCACCTCCACTTTCTGGAGAAGAAGTTTGTGCTTCTGATATCAATTTTGACAGAACACTTCCTGGCCTGCACCAGGTAAATTAGTTTTCGTCTAAGTGGTCCTCAAGTATCTTGGGACAGATTTTGTAGATGTAGGTGGGCGAACGTTTCTGGAGCCTGGGAGTGAGACTCATATGTACGCATTTTATCGCAAAGATGTAGTATTGGTGCCTGGAAATTCTCTTCCACTTATCCCTTACGATCCACTAGAGTCAGATCTTCTTCAAAAAATTAATAAGGAGAAAAAGCCTTTGATATTTCTACCTGGATAGTGAGTTTTTGTTTCTGCTCTCATAGTTTTGTTGTTTACCACTAAATTTTACACCTTTGATACTTAAATTTGATCTACAAGGAATGAACCAACTGGTTTAAGTTTATTCTTCCCTAGACCACCACATACAAAGTTCTACGTTGTAACTGACTGAGACCACCATCTAGAATATTTGCGAACTGGTGCTATTGTACATCTAAATCAGTACAGAGATGAAGCTTGAAAGGTTGACATAATCACCGGTGAGATAATAATTTAAACATGACTTCTAATCGATGCTGAAATTCACCTAATTACTGTGGTCAAAGGAGGATCACAGTTTAGCGTGAGGCGTTGAGATTTAGGGTTAGAAGTTAGGGTTTTTGTCACAAACTGACATCAGTTGCAATGCCAAAATGCTATTTAGCCGTATGGGTAAGTGAGTTTTGCTCTAAAACCCAAGAGTTGCTGTTTTAAATCACATCCATCCACGACAAGTAGTTTTGTCTCACTCTGTATGTATGATAGTTGTTCGAGAAATATGTGCTAATCCGCTATATCAGGTGTGAAAGTAGTATGATTTTTGGGATATCGTACGTAATTTTGTACAGGTCATAGGAAATTTCTTGTAATTAGCAACTCTTCAGCCTATTCACTCAACATTACCCGAAGATCAAAGTTTCTGGCTCAAGGCAGCTTAGATGTCACATTGTTACCAGTCGCTAATAAATCTAGTGTGTACCAGATTTTAAATACTTTGATGGTATCTCTGGGGATTCAAGTCATACTATGTTATGTTGTAAATATATATTTTAGAAGTCAAAGTATTTTACTTAACGAATTGGGGCAAGCAAACTGGCTTCAATAAGCTTTCAATAAAGCATTAAACTAAGTTAGATCCAAGGTTGGTTGTTAGTCCGCTCGCTAAGTAGATAAAAATCAGTTGCATTCACAAAACTGGACAAATATGTAAACTTACCACTTTGCAAAGTGTCAAACTTATGAACAGTAGGCATCTGTAATATTTACAAATTTTCTCCATCCGTTCTTTTTTGCGGATTGCGTGTGGCGATAAGCATGGGTCTCTCACATTTACAATCTTGCAGTCCCTATGTAAATACCCCGTAACTTTGTGCTCAGTCTGAGCTACAGAATTGAAAACAGTAACTGCACTTGATAAATATACAGGACTTTTCTGACTCGTCTTATAAACTGTCCTTTTCGTTTTTAGAAAAGGCTTCATAATTTATGAAATTATCAAGGTATGTGCTCTACTGCTTGCAGACTATTAGTTTCTTCCATACTGTTCAAACTACAGGAATTGTAAATGATTGAGTTCCTAAACTATATCTTCGACGTCTGTCATTATCCTGGAACATATAGTTTATCAGATGTTCGTTGTGTCTTGATTTCGTGGTTGCTCTAGATTCGTTGAGACGTTCTGTGTTTAGAAATCGCCTGTGTAACAATGGTTCACCTGCAAACCTTATTAATATCTTGAAGGCCCTGTCTGCTATCACTTCACTAAGAGTAAAGTCATACAAATACTTTTGTTGCTACAATTCAACGTTTGTAAAACGGAGTTCCACAATCTTACTATTCCGTTTAAGGTTGCTACCAACAGTAATGTCATAACAACCAGGGAGGAAATTCGTCATGAACAAAGATTTTTCTGTATTTCGCATGCAAATGATATCTTATTGCGCGATAAAACTTGGGTCGTTGTAATCGTGATGACCCACTTGAGATGTATTCAGTACATCCAAAATGAAGAATGCTTCTGCAAAACTGACAGGAACAGAGTCGCATATCTAACCAACTCAACTATTTTCAGAATTGGATTATGTAGCATAACCCTTTTTAGAACCTGTTGTTTTGTATCAATCTCTTTACAGCCAGAATAAATAATCAAAGTAATCGTTTGCTTTCCTAGAATTTACATAAATTTATTTGTGCATGTACAGTTTTGATATTTTAAACCTCCAAATACTTATTACATAAACTTGTATCTTGTCTTATCTGTTGAATTTTAGTCAAGATCATGTGAGCTTGGGGGATTTCGTTGGTTGTATTGGTACTACAGCTGACTTAGTTGCTATCTGTATTCCCGATGCAAATGAAAATGCTCCTATTCGTGCTATGTTTATTGGTAGACAGCGAATTCGCATCACTAAAGCAACGCGCGACTCTTTATAGTAATTTTTTCCACATAAATTATTTAATTCTTACCAATTTTTTATTCGATTTAAGCATAACTATGTTTTTTCACTAAAATTATCGTTCTCATACCGTCCAAATTCATTTTAATGAATGGGATATATTTATTAAGACAAAATATTAGAAAAGATCAGTTCAGCGAAGATCTCGTTCCTAAGGCTGTACAACCATAAATATACACTCAAAATGATAATAAATAATGCCTGTTAAGGATGATAATAATCAAAATCGCAATGATTTAGATAATGCGATGAGAAGACAAAGGTTATCAGAATTATGTGATATATTCGTGCAATATATTTCGAACAGTCTAATCACACATTCTTGGTAAGAAAAATGAAATGAAAAATTATCAGGTCAACTAGACAACTTAGAAGATAAGGGGAAACAAAGAACGATGAAGTACACAACTTGAAAATAATGCAGAATAATAAATTAGTAATACCAGGGTAGGCTAAGGGTAAAAATAAGTTGTTTTTGAATACATTAAGGGGATTTTACTTTATCGCATTATCTAAATCATTGTGATTTTGATTATTATCATCATTAACAGGCATTATTTATTATCATTTTGAGTGTATATATATGGTTGTACAGCCTTAGGAACGAGCTCTTCTCTTAACCAGTACTCGTTATTTTGGTTTTAGTACTGTGATGACTAAACGCCTGATTATGATCACAAATTTTTGAATTGCTTACTCGTTTTACTTTTAAAAACTAGACAGCATATTCAAGGTTTTATATCCAGTCTGCTTCACAATAGTGTATTAGTCATGAGACTTTTCCCGACCGTGGCTGCTACCTTGACGTGGTGGTCGGGCTTGCCTATCGTGATGATCCAACCGAGCTATACTGGCTGGAACATATGTTCCTGCAGGTCCTACCATGCCAGACAGGTCGATTGGAGAACGATGAGACTAAAAGCAGCTACCCAAGGTCTGAGGGCGAAGTCGTACTGCTGACTGCAGAGGGGTGTGACAGCAGTAAGGTGTTTCCCTTGGACAACCAGCATCTGCAGCGATGCTGCCTTCTCACAAGGAAGGAAGGGTTAGAAAAGGTCGGCCCTAAAAATGTCACACCTCCCCTAACTCACGGATTTCCGTCTCCTTGGGTAAGGGTGCCCACTAAGGGCCTTTAAGAACGGAGCTAATCCTCTAAATACCTTTCATAAAAAGGCCGTGCGTGACCGGCCTCAAGCAGTTGTCCCTTGGACTCTGCGGTCACGCACCAACACTAATCTATTTTCCTTTTCAGGTTCCTCAAGAAACAACCTTCCACGGTGTGGGCAGCCGGGAAGTGACAACCGCCCTCATACCCATAACAGCACGCGAGACCAAATTGGTCAAAATCAAATCCTTCCTACACCCCCTAATGTCTCTCTTATCTCCACGACTAACTCTTCTTACATTCATTCATCACATTGCACAGCTAATGCAGACGATACGAGTTCGCGAAAGGTCGTTCCTGGTCTCCTTAAACCTCGCTCTAGACTACATGTTGGAGCATTTAATGTACGGACATTGTGTCAAATAGGGCAACAGGCTTCCTTAGCTATGACTTTAGAATCTCGTGCCATCGATGTATGCTGCGTCTCGGAAACGCGCATACAGGATCCGAGTCACGTCATACACTTGACCACACCATGTCAAAATAAAGAAGCAGCTCGATTTACTCTTCGTGTATCCGGTAGCCCTGATGCTGCTTCCCGGGGTCTTGCTGGCGTAGGCATAGCATTGAGTCGTAGGGCAGAACAATCTCTCCTTGACTGGATCCCAATAGATAGTCGATTGTGCGCTGTCCGACTAAACGGGACAGTAAGGACTCGGAAAGATAGGGACAATCGCCGTTGCCTCTTCATCGTATCTGCCTATGCCCCCACTGAATGCAGTTCAGACGAGGTTAAGGATGAGTTTTACAGAAAGCTTTCGGACCTCCTCCAAAAAGCTAGGCGCTCTGATATAGTAATAATGGCTGGTGACTTTAATGCTCAAGTAGGTAGACTAAGTGAGCAGGAGAGACACCTAGGTGGATGTTATGGTGTCGCGGCTCAGAGAACAGACAATGGTGACCGTCTGTTGCAAACATGCTCAGACAACCGCCTATTCTTAGCAAACACTAACTTTAGGCATAAGGAAAAGCACCTGTTGACCTGGCGACCTCCAAAGTCGTCTCAACGTTGGACTCAACTAGATCACATCGCCATCAGCCACCGATGGAGGGGTTCGATAGAGGACTGTCGCTCGTTCTGGGGCACATGTTTGGATTCAGATCATGCCCTAGTGCGAGCGCGTATTTGTTTGAAGCTTACTGGACGTAGGAAAGACACCGTAAGAAAGCCTCTTAGGGTTTTGCTTAATGATAATAAGGCGAAAAATATATTTCAGGAACAACTAGAAAGACAGTTAGGCGACCATTTAAGCGATTCCCATCCGGAAGCAGGATGGAATGATATCAAAAAGGCTGTGGAAACAGCAGTGATATCTGCTAGTGAGGTTGACCATAAGGCTAGAATGAAACCGTGGATCTCAGTAGCATCCACCGATCTGATGGATGCCCGAAAACTCATCCCACCTGGCTCTGAACATGATGAAGAACGAAGTCAACTTAGGCGCAGACTTATGAAAAGCCTACGTAACGATCGCGAGCAGTGGTGGGTGGCGAAAGCAAAAGCGATGGAAAAGGCAGCGGCGATCGGCAACAGTAGACAACTTTTCCGCCTTAATAAAGAAACTGGTATTAAGAACCCGAATGTGAGTGAGACTATCTCGGAAAAGGATGGTCTTATTATCCATTCTCAATCCAGGAGACTGGATCGATGGGCAGAACACTTTAGGGATCAGTTCAACTGGCCACGAGCCACTCTTCGGTTACCCACGATCTCCAGTCATCCTGAATGGCAAATCGACGTAAGTCCCCCTAGTCTTAATGAAGTTGAGAAAGCGTTAGGAAATCTGAAACGAGGACGAGCTGCAGGTCCTGATAGACTGACCCCTGAGATATTTAAGGATGGAGGTCCAGTTTTATCAGCTAGGTTGACTGAGATCTTAGGTAGAATCTGGGAACTGGACGCCATCCCATCCGACTGGTCTCAATCCTTGATTGTCCCAATCTATAAGAAAGGACAGAAGTCTTCTTGTGACAATCACAGGGGAATAAGCCTAACTAACATAGTATCTAAAATATTGGCCTCAGTAATACTTCGACGCTTAACGAAAGCTCGTGAAGAGCAAACTCGGGAAAACCAATCTGGTTTTCGACCTGGACGTGGCTGTATAGACCACATTTTCACACTACGACAGGTCCTGGAACACAGACACACATTTAGGCGTCCTACAATAGTTGTTTTCCTGGACCTTAAGGCGGCATTTGACTCAGTGGATCGTGAGGTTCTGTGGCAGTGTCTGTCATTGAAAGGTGTACCACAGAAGTACATTAACCTTATACAAGCCCTATACTCGAACACCACTGGTCGAGTGAGGGCTTATGGCGAACTGTCACCGGAATTCTCTACATCAAGTGGTGTCCGTCAGGGATGTCCACTTTCTCCATTCTTGTTTAATTTTATCATAGACATGCTCCTAGAACTTACCTTATCCTCGTCTGAATTTTCAGGAGTAGACCTTCTACCAGGTGGCTCGCTTATTGACTTAGAATATGCCGATGACATAGTCCTACTTGGTGAAGACGCTGACAAAATGCAGAGTCTTCTGACTACCCTAAGCAACAATGCAAGCATGTTCGGGATGCGGTTTTCCCCCTCGAAATGCAAAATGTTACTTCAAGATTGGGTGTCATCGGCACCTGAACTAGTGATAGGGAGTGAAGTGGTCGAACGTGTAGACCGCTTCACCTATCTTGGGAGTCTCATCAGTGCTGATGGCCTGGTGACTGACGAAATCTCAGCACGGATACAGAAGGCTCGATTGGCTTTTGCCAACCTGCGTCACTTATGGCGTAGGCGAGATATCCGTTTGCTGACTAAAGGACGAGTGTACTGCGCAGTGGTTCGCTCTGTCTTACTTTATGGCTGTGAAACATGGCCAATGAGAGTAGAAGATACTCGTCGGTTATTGGTTTTCGATCATAGGTGTCTTCGAAGCATTGCTCGTATATCGTGGGACACCCGAGTTAGCAACGCTGTTATTAGGAAACGGGTACTAGGTAAGAATGGCAGATCAATCGATGAAGTGGTGAAACTTCATCGGTTGAGGTGGTTGGGACACGTGTTGCGTATGCCTAACCACCGACTGCCTCGTCGAGCTTTGTTTTGTGGTGTAGGAATAGGTTGGAAGAAAGCTAGGGGCGGTCAAACCAAAACATGGCATAAATCCATGAAGTTATTGACGAGTGGACTTAGCCATGTCGGTAATTGTCGACTACCTGGTTGGGGTCCGCGAGATGATAATAATCGATGGTTAGAGACCTTGAATGACATGGCTCAAAATCGTTCGCAATGGCGCCAGTGCATTTATTCTTTGTGTTCTCTCAAATCCTAATCTTCTGAGTTCTTCAACACCTCTAGCTTTTACTTTCTAAACTTATCTCATTGAATCACACTTCGTGAATAATATCTTCTAATTCTAACGTCTACGATTACTTCTAATACCTTTACTACCTCTTCTACTATTGGATTTGAATTGACAATTATATCTCTGTGCTGATGTGGTATGGCGACATGAACTGATGTACTTACGTACGAAGTTCTACGTTGCAACTGACTGACTGACTGACTGACATGAGACTTTTATTCAGCACCCAAGTCTCGACCGTTCACATCACCGGACCTGGATACAATTTTCAGAATAAAGAAATCTTTACTGCATAAGATCATCTATGATGATAATGAAATTAGAACATTACGCTTCTCTGGTTAGAGAGTTGCTGGTGGATAGTTAAATTACTACTTAGTAATAATAATTCGACAAGCTTATGTACAAAGTTTGAAAAAAAACATAAGTCTTACCATAAATAATTTGGAATGAGATATTGTATGACGTAAACTATTTAGGCCACTTTACATTAGTATAACTATGGTTTGCTTATCAGGGTTGTTTTTTTTGTCATTTCAGATACATTTTTTACGATCATATACAGGTTAATCTAATAAACTTTTTTATCAAAATCATAAACAGTGTTGAGTTTGTTTTCGGAAATGGCCTACCTATCAGTTTTATTAGGAATAATAGTTAGCACAGTAAAAATCTTTTCTAAGGTTGTTAGTATTAAATATCATAAATAAAATAATGTTAATAGTTCTCATGGGCTGAGTTTAGAAATGCTAATTGTTTTCCACACTTGGCTTTCACATCCCTAATAACTGTTCCAATATGTGTGAAAAAATTCCCACTTCCTTCATATTTTCTGTTTCAATTCCCTTTCTTAACTACAGCCCGCTAGTTTGTCATGGAACAATTTTACCGGAAGCGTCTTTTGATCGTGAAATGGCCAGTCATCCTTTAGGTTGGGGATTGGTTCCTCGGTCATGGTCTCGTTTTGGTTGTGATCCACTACCAACCCGTCCCAGTACATATAATTCTAGCGGATTGAAGCAAGTTTCAACTGGTGTAGTGTCTAGCAAGTATGGTTATCATAGTACTTTGTTGATTAACTAAATTTCATTGCATTTTTTCTGTTTTTCGAGTGTCATAATCTATTGCGTAGGATCTTCGTTATTAATACTCGTTCCTTACAATTATTATTTTTAGGTCTCCAAACAGTGATTCCTCTCATAATAGTCTACCAACCTCTCTCCCATCACATTCGCTGACAGTAAACTTTTGTGTACCACCAGCCGGTAATGCCTTTTCAATTTTCGACTCCCGGTTGAGTACATGGAGAACTTCTGGACCTATTAGTTCTGGAAATATACATTCTCCATGTAGCTCTGCAGGAGCACGACTTGATCATTTTGTCGATGATGGTTCGGATCAGGAAAACAATTCGAAAAAATCAAAACGTGATCTTGATAATCTCGTCAACGGTGATAACGAAGTCAGTAGTGCATCATCTAATAGTAAAGAAAAACAGGGTGTTAAATCAGGAAACAAGCTAGCTAGATGTTCTTCACTTTCAGAAGATGTTGAATTAATTATGGATCGTGCTGTCGATCGGGGTGGTCGACCCTTCCGTTATCGTATCAAACAGCTTTGTGACCCTCGTCTTCTGTCTCGACGTGATGTTTTGGCTGCCACTGCACAAGCTTATGCTTCTTTACCGTATTGGGTTTACCGACAGTATGATTTGGTAGGTTTTAATTGCTATATTTTTCATCATAGTATTTTATCTGTTGCTTAATTACAGAAGTCAAATAAATATGCAAATAATTTATTTATGGGGATTTCATTTGACAGTACTAATGACTTAAAAGGTGCATGTAAAATATTTGTTGAGTAGTTTAAGTTCGTATTCATGATATTCACGTCATATTTCTTAAATCTTATCTACATTTAATAGCTTTTCACATTGTCTATCAGGTTTTGTGATAATAGTCAATTTGGTAAAAATGTAATTTTATTTGTGTATGTTATCAATAACGGGTATATTTGGGATGCTAAAACGTGAAACGAATTCCTAGTCGTAAATCGTATCGTTTGTGAATATTTCCTCTCAGATTGAATACAGTATTAACTGGAAAGCAATTTGACATTATCCTACTAAGTCCATGTCATCAATACTATGTACCAGTTTAAAAAACATCATTATCTTTGAAGTATTGGGAAGTCAGTGAATTGATGAAGTATTATTCACCATGATGATACCCAACCTCAGCTGCTACCTTGACGTGGTGGTCGGCTTGCCTACCGTAATGACCCAACCGAACTATATTGGCTGGAACATATGTTCCTGTAGGTTCTACCATGCGTGGCAGATCGAATGGAGAGCGGTAAAACTAAAAGCAGCAAATTTAGGTCTGACGGCGAAGTCGTACTGTTGACTGTAGAGGGTTGTGACAGCAGTAAGGTGTTCCCCTCGGACATCCAGGATCTGAGTAGCGTCATTTGTTTGACCTCACCGTGTCAAAATAAAGAAGCACCCTTATTTGCTATTCGTTTATCTGGAGGCTCTGATGCTGCTTCCCGAGGTCTCGGTGGCGTAGGTATAGCACTAAGTCCTAGGGCAGAACTAGCTCTTCTAGACTGGACCCCGGTAGACAGTCGCTTACACCCTCCAACTAAACGGGACAGTACAGACTCGTAAAGATAAGGAAACTTGCCGTTGCTTCTTCGTCATATCTGCCTACTCTTCGACTGACTGCAGTTCAGACGACATAAAAGATAAGTCTCACATAAACCTTCCTAACCTCCTTCAAAAAATTAAGCGCTCTGATATAGTAGTAGTGGCTGGTGACTTTAATGCTCAAGAAGGTAGGCTAAGCGAAAAGGAAAGACACCTGGGTGGATCTTATGGTGTCGCGGCTGACCGAACAAATAGTGGCGACCGTCTGTTGCAGCTGTGCTCATATAACCGCCTATTCCTAGCAAGCACTAACTTTAGGCATAAGGAAAAACATCTTTTGACCTCGAGACCCCCAAAGTCGTCCCAACGCTGGACCCTACTAGACCACATTGCCAGCAGCCACCAAAAGAGGGGTTCAATAGAAGACTGTCGCTCGTTCCGTGGCACATGTCTAGATTCAGATCACGCCTTTGTGCGAGCGGGTATTTGTTTGAGGCCTACTGGACGAATGAAAGACACCGCAAAGAAACCTGTTGAAGTCCTACTTGATGATAACATGGCTAAGAATATATTTCAGGAGTAACTAGAAAAACAGTTAGGCCACTATGTAAGTGATTCCCATCCGGAAGTAGCTCGGAATGATATCAAAAAGGCTGTGGAAACAGCAGTGATATCTGCTAGCAAGGTTAACTATAAGGTTAGTGAGAAGCGGTGGATTTAAGCAGCATCTACTGAACTGATAGACGCTCGTAAACTCATCTCGCCTGTTTGTGAGCATGAAGAATAGCGAAGTCAGCTTAGGCGAAGTCTGATAAAAAGCCTCCGGAATGATCGCGGACAGTGGTGGGTAGCGAAAGCAAGAGCGATGGAAAGGGCAGCGGCGATAGGTAACAATAGAGAAATGTTCCGACTTATCACGTAAACCGGTATTAGGAATCCGAATGTGAGTGAGATTATCTCTGAAAAGGGTGGTTGTATGATTCATTCTCAATTCAGGAGATTGGATCGATAAGCGGAACACTTCAAGGATCATTTCAACTGGCCTTCAGCTATATTTCGGTTGCCTACCATCTCCAGCCATCCTGAATGGCAATGTGACGTAAGCCCTCCGAATCTTTATGAAGTTGAGAAAGCTATAGGAAATCTGAAGCGAGGACGAGCAGCGGATCCTGATAGATTGACTCCTGAAATTTTTAAGGATGGGTAGTCCAGTTTTAGCATCTGTCCACTTTCTCAATTCTTGTTTAACTTTGTCGTAGACATGCTTTTAAATTAAGATTATCCTCGTTTGACTTTTCAGGAGTGGACCTTCTACCAGGAGACACACTTGCTGACTTAGAATATGCCGATGACATAGTCCTTTTTGGTGAAGACGCCGACAAAATGCAGTCTTCTGACTACCTTAAGCAACAATGCAAGCGTGTTCGGGATGTGGTTTTACCCCTCCAAATGCAAAAAGTTGCTTCAAGATTGACTTGCATCTTCACCAGAACTAGTTATAGTGAGTGAAGCAGTTGAGCGTGTTGACCGCTTCACTTGACTTGGCAGTCTCATCAATGCTGACGGTCTGGTGACTGACCGAATCTCGGCACAGATATAGAAGGCTCGACTGTCTTTTACTGACTTGAATCGTTTATGGCTTAGGCGAGATATCCGTTTGTTAATCAAAGGACGAGTCTACTGCGCAGCAGTTCTCTCCATCCTACTATATGGTTGCGAAACATGGCCGGTAAGAGTAGCGGATATTCGTAAGTGATCAGTATTCAAACATAGATGTGTTCGAAGCATTGCTCGTGTATCCTGGGACCACCGAGTAAGTAATGCTGTCGTTAGGAAACGAATACTAGGTAAGGATGGAAAATCAATCAGTGAAGTATTGAAACTTCATCATTTGAAATGGTTGGGACATGTGTTACGAACGCCCAACCACCGACTGCCTCAACGAGCAATGTTTCGCGATGTAGAAGTAGGTTGGAGGAAAGCTAAACCAAAACATGTTAGAAATCCATGAAGTCACCGACAACTGGACTGAGTCACGTAGATGTAGACTACCTGGTTGGGGTCCGCGAGACGATAGTAATCGGTGCTTAGAGACCTTGAATGACATGGCTCAAAATCGTTTGCAATGGCGCAGGTGCATTTATTCTTTGTGTTCTCTCGAATCCTAATCTTCTAAATTCCTCATCACCTCTCTCTTTTTCTTTTTAAATTTATTTCACTAAATTCTACTTCTTGAATAATATCTTCGAACCCTAATCCTTTTGATTACGGCTAATACTTGTACTACCTCTACCACTATGGGATTTGAATTAACAAATCCGTTTCTGTGCTAATGTGGTATGGCAAGTTGGACTGATATATGTACGTACGAAGTCCTACGTTGTAACTGACTGACTGACTCATGATATCATATATGAGCTGTCGTTTCGTTAACAATGATTTCGTTTCTTGCTTATGACTATATTTATTGTATGATACTTAGGCACATTGTTTTTGTTCAATTTCCTAGGAATAGATATATTGTATTTGTCTATTCTAAGAACTTTGCAAGTTTCGAAAACTTCTAACAGTTAACCCTATCTGTATAAGTTTGTCATGCCTTTGTATTAGACTATTGCTCGCGAATGGTCTATTCGTTTCAGTATAAATAAAAATATTGCTTTGGCCTTCAATATTTTTTTTCCATATGTTACGGTATTGATTATCGTTGATTATTCCTTCGATTCTCTATAAGTTCTGTTCTTGAAACGACATAGTGACTAAATTTTAGCATCTGTCTTGTGAAGCTCTGGACAGCTTTTTATCGACCTGCCAATCTTGGTTCCAATTATCTTCTTGTAGCTGTTACGTTTTCTTGTAACCAAACGTTAATGTTCCCGTTTCAGAAAAGAGAAATAAACATAAACTCTCCAGTTTTAAATGGGAATATTTAGAAGGATGGAGCTAAAAAGTATTTTTCTTGATATCAGTAACTTTTTTGAAACCAGACAAATTAAATACCATATATTGCTTCATGGATAAATGTTTCAGACTAGTTTTTTTTCAGTTTGTCTTAATGGAATGATACTAGTATGTGTAGTAAAATATTTGCCAGTTTTTAAAAATCTACTTATTGTTTTATTAAAAGTAAATGTTATATTTTTGGATATGATCATCTTATTTTAATAAGACTCCGATATAATTCCTAAAAGGAGTTGATCATGAACAAGATGATCTCGGGTGTTATTAGAGCTATGAGGGCAATCTTCACTCTCTGGCTGCTCCATACTGAGGAAGGATATTTTTTATGAAGGACCCTGAAACGGAAGCTGGGTTACTGTTGATCTCAGAAATCTGGGATCGAATTATTGGAACACAACTGCTTGAGGTCAGTCATGCACGACCTTTCAATGGTTGGCCTATTCTAGCCTTTCCTTCCCGTTGTGAGAAGGTATCTTCGCTACAGATTCTGCTTGTCCGAGCGAAACACCTTACTGCTGTGAGGCTCCTCTTCTGATAGCAGTTTAACTTCTCTTCCTGGCCTTAAGTGACTCCTTTTAGTCTTACCGTTCTCCAGTCGACCTATTTGGCATGATGGAACTTATTATAGCTAGGATATATATATATATATATATATATATATATATATATATATATATATAATATTGAAAGTGGTTTGTACACTTCCTAAATTAGGATGCTATTTCATCTTATTGGTTTTAGAATTATTTAGTTGCGGCTATTCAAGCGGAACTCTGTAATTGGAATGATACCTGGCAAGTTGACAATTGGAATCCTGAATTAGCCGTCCCGTTTTCTTACTGGCTGATACAAAATCTTCCAATGTCTGGTTCATTAAAATCTCATATATTGGGTATTGATCATGTTGTACAGCGTCTGCGTGCTCTACTGGAAGTTATACGTCGTGTGAGTATGTATTGTCTATTTAAGTTTTTGAAGTATATTTACCAGGCAAAATTCACTGCCTAAGTTCTTTCATAATATAGTTACTAATGAAAGCATGATATCCTTAGCTGTCAATATTTATGATTGCTAGATGATGGACTCATATTATAATTACTTAGAGGTTTCGTAATACCTTTTAGCTGACTTCACGCAGTTGGAAACGTTTCATTTGTCATCATATGGTTGTTTGTAATGACCAAATAGTCGATGTGTACACAGCTACCCTTATTGTTTCTGAATAAATATTGTTAGAAATTCATAAAATTCTTCTGCTTTGCTCTTAACTAGTTGAAAGCTGGCTTTTCGAGTTTTTCATGGAGGACTTATTTACTACTGTTTAGTTTTTTGCCGTCTCTTATCGGAACATAAAAAATGGGGTTTAGAAGCACGCTCATTTTATTCTGGCTTACTCAAGTCATTTTAATGATATATACGTACTGTTTTAATGATTTCAGTTCATAGACTTATCTAAAAATACTAAGCACAACTTTTACTTTGTGTGAAGCATTTATTATTCTCACATTTTTGTTCGAATGTTTTGATTCCATAATATTAATCGATTTATATTTCCCATTCTTTCCCCTCAAAAAATATTCTAAACTTTTTTTTAAAAAATACCAAAAATTTTCTTTAGTCGACAGCCTGTGTTTGTGCATCGTGTGATGCAAATATCACTTCAAACCAATATATTGTTTGCCTTGCTCAAGAAGGGAGCTCACAGACATATATTAATCCATCTGGTATTTTACATGATATTGTGACTGTGAGTCAAGTTACCCCGAATTCTATTAATCTTATCGGTGAAGCTTCATCCGAATATTCTTGGTTTCCTGGGTATGTTAATAATTATTCTTTTAATGTATCTGTCAAATGTTGTATGGGGTGAAGATACAATAAAGTTTAAGTCTTGTATTACCGAGAGTTTGATGGTTGTAATTCTTATGTGACATTTTTTAAATAAATTACTCACAAACTAGGTAAATCTTCTCACATTACTTTCAATATTAGAACTTTTCAATTATTCTATTCTAACTTATGCTCACACTAGAGATCTATCTTCGCCAAACCTCCACCTGCCCCTTATACATACTCATATACATTAAATTAATAGATATTTCCGAAGATTATCATTACAAGTGAGTATAGACATAGAGTCTAACTAATTATGCAAAAGATGAATCATTTTACAGAACATTTTGCTTATTTGTAAACACTATCAATGAATTGATAAAGTAATAAGCTAGCAACTTCTATATTGTTTCATACAATAATAATATATTATATATACTTGTTGATTTTTAACAACCAATAGTATGTGTGTCGTATGCCGTTACTCTATTTGAGTTGTTACCTTTAGGGATGATAATCAATCTCCCATGAAAAGCACACTGTTACTGTTACCAATTTTTACAGCTCCAATGAACAAATAAGTCATCCTAAATACCGTTATGAATTTAATGTGAGGTGATTTTTACTATCCCATTGTTGATACTTTTGACTAAAACTGATCAGTCTTGGTCAGCATATGGCCATCCTGAGCTGATCACCTCAATATAGCAATTATAACACAACTTGATATAAAATGGATGTAGTATGGCTAGGAGCAGAAACCGAGGATCACGTTTCATCTCATTTTGGAGTTGTCAGCTGGATATCCGTACCCCCTAGAGTTGATATTCACTCAGGGACTTAAACCCACAACTATTTACTTACGTAACTATAATAAATTATTTCGTTTTAATTAACTATCAAGTCAACAACTAATTTAAAATAGCAGATAGTTATTATGGATAGAAAGCATGAGAAAAAGACATTGCTAAATTGTAATGCTGAGTCAAATTTATTTCTTACATCATAATTACAGTAAGCATAGTCAACTAAATTCAAATTTTACTTGATCAGTCTGTAATTGCTTACAATTAAAAGTAAAGTGTCTTTGAAAGTGGATAATTTTTTTTAAATTGAACTTGTGACCAATTGAAACTACTTTAGAAATAAGTGTAATGATTCACAAATTTATAAAAAAATGTTTCAATCACACTATATAATGTAAATACTGATTAAATAGATTGTACAAAATATTCAGATTAAGAACTAGCAGCTCTTTTTGTGATGCAGCTTTATTGGATGAACCATTGGTTTAAAGGAGCATAATTAAAATCAAACTGATTGTTGATTTGGTTATTCTGATTGTGAGAGATTGTCCCTAATATTTTTGTACTTGTAATGTAATGTAATAATAATAATAATACTTTAATTCAAGCTTTTACGCTTCAAAAAACTGTACAGATAAAAAGACTCTATTGGAAAATAGTTCACTATTTGACAGACCGAAATCACGACCATAGACATGATTAGTGATAAATTGTTGAGGGCAGTCACCATAGCTGAGAAGTCAGATTGGAAAGTTTCAGACCTTAGACTAATTATCCACTCTTACTAATCGGAAGCTGTCAACTATTTACTCAGTTTAACGAACCAGTTTGGTAAAATAATGTTTATCCCGTAATCGGCATATTGGTGAAAGATTTGGTATGATGGATTGGATCATTGTAATCTGGCTTACCAAATATTTTATATATGATTTTTTGTGATGCTTTTAGTTTCTTATCCATACTCTTGTAATTATTTTTAGGTATTCTTGGACTATAGCCAATTGTAATAGTTGTTACCAACATATGGGTTGGTTATTCACTGCCCTAAATGATCATTTACGTCCACGAAAATTTTGGGGTATTCGACGTCAAACAGTCGTGCCCGGTTTAATAAGTGCGTCAGATTGGCGTCCTTGTATTTAATTTGCTAAAGAAAAATGACTTCATTTTTATTTTGATTAACGAATTGTGATCGATAGATATTGTCTTATTCATTTCCCTTGTCGTTTTGTGTGAAATTTTAATTCCATACATCACATTAACACATATTAACTGTTGCCAGTTGTTTATATGCTTAAATCTCTAATTTTTCCACTATTTTCCTCTTAGACCGTTTTTCCTAATTATAATTAATTAATTGTAATTCAAGTTGACTGTATTTTGAGCAAATTTAACCGCGTATTTTTAAAAATAGCTTAATCACCTTTACCATAATCGCTGAAGAATTTTCGAAAAATTTACTGTTCGTATTTCAACTTCATTGCTTTTCTAAAATATAATATACATTTGTCAGCTCTGTTTGATCTCATTTTCCGTATCAGTTCACAGGTCAATCGCTATTCATTGATTGAACTGTTTCCGATTAAATCAATCTGTTGGTATTCAATCTGTGAGAACTTACATGATGTTACTGTTGTGCACTTGATATCTTATTGCTCTAACATTATCTAGACACTTCATTGATCCTACGATGATATTCTCATCTACTTATTTAAATAACTTCTTTCTATTGTAATCTTTTTCTGTACCTTTTGGTATTCATTGTTTATCTCATATGATCGAGTTGATAGCTTACTGTTACGCACGCATGACACCACGTCAGTTGATATGCTTGAAGTATTACAAGTTCACCTTAGTCGGTGAACAAGAACAAGGATCGACGACCCGGCGACGTGACAGGCTACTGTAATACGAGTGTCCACAACCCCTATTGGGTAGAAGAAGACATGATATGAAGTAGAACGTGTACTCTACAAACATCCAGAAGAGTACGAGGTCCTAGTCCAAAAAAGAGTCAGGATCCCAGACTGAGGATCCGAATCGTAAAGCGTTACAGATAATTCATATTTGTACAGTTAGGTCGAATAGGAAAACAACATTGAAGTATGCGATATTGACAGTTAGGACGACCAATAGAATACGACTTCCAAATAATTCTCTTAGGATATTGGATGAATATCCTAACACTTAAGTTAGTTTATAAGGTTTAGGGAGATTGCTATTTTAGTTAACTTATATTTTGACGTATATCTAGTTTAGGCATAGGTATCAGTGAAGCTGATCTTGGTTTGATTGTATGCAGTATTTTTATATATTAATTTGAGGACACGAGTCAGTATTCAAGGCTGTTATTTTATTCTTCCCTGTACCATATTTATAGTCTGATGACTTAAGAAGATTTCGAGTTCGCTTTTCATTGTCATTCGCACGAACTACTGTATTAGGAGGACAGATGATGGCGACCGTCTGTAGCAACTGTACTCAGAAAATCGCCTGTTCCTAGCAAACACTAACTTTAGGCATAAGGAAAAACATCTTTTGACCTCGAGACCCCCAAAGTCGTTTCAACGTTGGATCTAACTAGATCACATTGCCAGCAGCCACCAAAAGAGGGGTTCAATAGAAGACTGTCGCTCGTTCCGTGGCACATGTCTAGATTCAGATCACGCCTTTGTGCGAGCGGGTATTTGTTTGAGGCTTACTGGACGAATGAAAGACACTGCAAGGAAACCTGTTGAGGTCCTGCTTGATGATAACATGGCTAGGAATATATTTCAGGAGTAACTAGAAAAACAGTTAGGCCACCATGTAAGTGATTCCCATCCGGAAGTAGCTCGGAATGATATCAAAAAGGCTGTGGAAACAGCAGTGATATCTGCTAGCAAGATAAACCATAAGGTTAGTGAGAAGCGGTGGATTTCAGCAGCATCTACTGAACTGGTAGACGATCGTAAACTCATCTCGCCTGTTTGTGAGCATGAAGAATAGCGAAGGCTGATAAAAAGCCTCCGGAATGATCGCGAACAGTGGTGCATAGCGAAAGCAAGAGCGATAAGTAACAACAGACAAGTGTTCCGACTTATCAAGTAAACCGGTATTGGGAATCCGAATGTGAGTGAGACTATCTCGGAAAAGGATAGGACTACTATTCATCCTCAATTCAGGAGATTGAATCGATGAGCAGAACACTTTAGGGATCAATTCAACTGGCCTTCAGCCACACTTCGGTTGCCCACGATCTCCAGTCTTCGTGAATGGCAAGTCGACGTAAGCCCTCCGAATCATCATGAATCTAAGAAAACTATAGGGAATCTAAAGCGAGAGAGAGCAGCAGGTCCTGATAGGCTAACTCTTGACGGTGGTCCAGCTTTAGCAGCTAGATTGACCCAAATCTTAGTTAGAATCTGGGAACAGCGTAATACCATCTGACTGGTTTCATTCGCTGATTGTCCCAATTTACAAGAAAGGACAAAAGTCCTCTTGTGACAGTCACTGAAAAATCAGTCTATCTATTATAGTGACTAAGTTGTTAGCCTCGCCAATACTTCGACGCCTAACTAGAGCTCATGAAAAGCAGACTCGAGAAAACCAGGCTGGTTTCAGACCTGGACGTGGTTGTATAGACCAGATATTCACACTACGTCAGGTCCTACAACAAAGACACGTTCAGACGCCCCACAATAGTAGTGTTTCTCGACCTAAAGGCGGCATTTGACTCTGTGGATCGTGAGGTTCTGTAACAGTGTCTGCCGTTAAAAGGTTTTTACCAAATAAATACACTAAGTTTATACAAGCTCTGTACTCGAACACCATTGGTCGTGTGACAGCCTATGGCGAACTGTGATCGGAATTCTCTACTTTAAGTGGTGTCCGTCAGGGTTGTCCATGCCGATGAGGTAGTTCTACTTGGTGACGACGCCGGGATGCGATTCTCTCCGTCAAAATGCAAAATGCTGCTTCAGATTCTAGTTCTTGAATAATATTTTCCAACCCTAATCTTTTCGATTACTACTAATACCTTTACTGCCTCTACTAATATGGGATTTAAATTAATGATTACATCTCTGTGCTATTGTGTTACGGCAACTTGAACTGATGAACGCACATACGAAGTTTTACGTTGTTGTTGATTGGGGTAACAAAAGAAATATAATTTAGTATCGAAAAAATCGAGAAAGAAATGGGAGTATGACCAAAAACAAATTAAACTGGAAAAGTAGTATATAGTGAGAGAAACAGATTGGTAATCTACATTTAGTCCAAGCAATTATTGGTGCAGCAACCAAGTTCCCTTCTGATTACTTTATATTCATGATTGCGAACCGAAGTAAATATGCGATATTCCAAACTCTCAAATATCTTGCCATAAGGTTTATGCGCTGTGAATTACTAAAATATATTACTGATTATTTAGTTAAAAATGTTCAGTGATAAACACGATCGAAGTGCACGAACTAACATTAGCCAGCTCCCACAATAAATTGATTGCCAGAGTACCAGGGAGATAGTATTCCTTGCTTGTGTAGGACTAACAATGCATAAGATTCTGGGCTGCGACTTTAAACGCCGAGTTTCGCGAAGGGTGTATTGAAATAACTAAGTCAAGATACAGTTTTCGACGTTGCTTATCGTATATGTGCCATATCAGCGATATATGTTTTAACGATATTCAATTTATAAGGGCTGATAGTACTTACTAGTTGTCTGGACGTCCACTTCAGGTAAACTATTGCGAATAGGGATCTCAGGCTTTATAGTTAACACAACTTATCAAATATGTATGTAGTCAATCAGCAACAACGTACGTACATCAGTTCAAGTTGCCTGTGCTACATAATTCAATACATCAGACGATGTCCCCAAACGCAACTCCGTGTTAGTAATTTATAAAAATAGAAAAACTGAGTCTATACAATGAGAACGTTTATTTTCATAACATAAAGACAATGTATGTAGTCAAAATGAATTTAAGAATTATGTTGTAGTATCTGCCGCGAATTTGAAATTCTGTATCTAGCGCAAAAACTGCTCTTACTCATTTCTGTCCTAATTACCTACAACATTATAATGATAAAATATATAAATTTACAAAAGTTTACGGAAAAGCTGAAAGTACAGGGAATCTTTAATGAAATTTTACGAAAAGAAAAAAACGTTTTATAGCAGCGACCTCATAAAAAAAAGTCAAATCATCTACTCATTATCAGAAAACATTAATTCCATGAATCACTATTTGTGAAGATATACATTTCCACAAAGATATTTGGTATACATTGATGGAGTTTAAACACAGTTAAATGCTTTTTATCATTATAAAGAATTTTCATACTGCAGAAAAAGGCAACACTAAAAACCAAATGAATGAATAATACAATACGACGAGATTTAACTATGTACAATATGATACTGACAAGAACACCAAATAACATTACATAAAAAGTTCAGTTATTCATTACTAGGTAATTTTTTTTTAAATAACCACTGACCACTAGAAAAATTTCCCTGAATATCGATCAAAATGGAAAATGTACAAGAGTAAAACAAGAAGTCATAGACATACAACAAAGAATATGATTATACATAAGTGTAGACTTTATAAAATATCCGGAGAAACACAAGATTTATTTTCAATAATTTGTTTATCAAATTGAGGAGAAATATGTTGAAAATTACGAACTGGCAAGCACTCATCAGCCTCATCTTCCACTTCTTCATCATTATCGTAATTATTCCCATTTAGGTGATTTTCAGAGGTATCCAATGGATTCTTCATAACATCACTTACTGATTCAATTTTACATGCATCTGATTCAACAGCAAACGATTTTATATTATCTTTAAAAAGTGAATTATCGATATCGCTTGTTTCAGAAATAACTAATTCTGATGTTGAATGTTGGTGATCTGATATGTCTGATCGTGATTCTGTAAAACCTTTAGATTGTGGAGAGGAATTTGTTGGTGCAATTATTTTGTTTATTTTCGCAGAGTCATCACTATCACCTTGACTATCCTCTTCCTGATCATTATCATCGTCATCGTCACACGGCTGATAATCACTATCAGAAGAAGACTTTAGAACTGTGCGACCAGATCGAGGACGTTTTGCTTTTAGACTGACAGATATTGGGGTTGGAGATCGATCAGCATTGATTTTATCGATTTCAATGGCTTCGTTTTCTTCTTCATCATCATCTAACACTTTACGAAATTTGCTTTTATTTGTAATCGGAGCCTCCGAAAAACTGTGTTCAGAATTATCTGATGTCTCGTCGTTTGATTCGCGGTAACTGACAACAGTTTGTGTACATCTATAAATAAAAATAATAAATTTTCGTCCTGTACACTATACTAAGTTGATAATTAATGAGTACTCAGATGATAATATTAGCACCAGGAAAAGAATGAAAACAGGAACTATAAAAATATAAAAATTTATGAAATATTTAATAGTGGTATTTACATACAATTTACGGCAGATCTTAAGCATGAGTTGGTTCCAAAACGTCATCAAACAGTACCTTTTCGGAAATACTGGAACTTTTAAAGGGTAATTAACATAGTTGGCTACCCAATTACAGGGACTTTTATAATAAAATTAAGTGTCAGAGTAAAAACTCTTGAGGGATGCATTGGTATAATATTCATATACTAACAGAGAGATGAAGAATTCCTATTAGTGAATCTACAAGCTTATTTAATACACATTGAAATCATCAATCAGTCACTGATCTCCAGAAGTTTAATTGAAAAAAAATTATATAACACAGCTGAGGTGGTATCAAATTGATTGAAAAGCCGAAAATACCAAACTACAGCAGAAACATAAAAATGATATCAAAACCAAGCAGTTGCTGATTTTTCAATAGCAGTCTTATTCTTTGTCACAAACAGGTACTACTGCGAAAAGACCTAAAATTCTAGCACAAAACAAGCAGCTATGAACTGGAGACGGTAAAGATGCTTATTCGACGTCGAACACCTGACAACCGCACACCAAACAGATTCATAATAAACACTAGCCATTTTGGGTACAAAGCAAAGGAGATCTGGGTACATGGATTGTTACAAGATAAGTATGATAAATAATGACCCTGGAGAGAAGGGAGAAAGTGAAGATAAAAATTTACGTCGACTTAGAAACTGCGAAATGACAGACGAATGTCTTAAATTTGGTAATAATGCGATTTGAGTTGATAAACGGAAATGAAACATGATTTCACTGAAAACTAACGAAGCAATGAGGAAACCAAAAGCAACGAAATCTTCATCACTCACTTTTTACCTAGCCTACCTAATAAGGCTTATTTTTTGAGTAATATTTAGTGCTTCAGTATACTATTTAACTACCGAAAATATGTTTTATGGCCGATGGTCTCGACTTCTGACACCAATCTACTTAATTAATCGAGTTTATTAATCAGCTTTAGGAATAGCTGAAAATCGCTTACATCGTGTCTTTGCACATCGTCGGTCAGTCTATAGTACATACATTTTTATTCTGACAATCAAAAACCCGTTAACTATTAAAATCCATAAAATCCTAATTCAGGAAAATTAAACAGAAAGTCATGTTTTGGAAATCCAAAAGTTGTGTCAAGTGCCGACAACTAATATTTGATAATTAAATGTCTATAACTTTCCAACTTAATCTTGATAACAAGAAAATCGCATCTACAAATACAGTAACTCGGGTTTATTTATTATTAAATGCTTGATTTAGTAGAACAACAGCTAGTAGTTAATGATGAAATGGTGTGCACTTACCCGTGAAATTCGCATTTATAATGACAATCTAATAACATAATATACCTTGATATACGAAAGACTATGTTATTCAAAATCATTTGCCATAGCGTATATATTCTAATAAGTGAATAAATGTTATTGAAATTAGTTACAGCTCAGAATTGTTATTCTAAATTAGGTAGTTGAATTCCAACTGTTGGATTTCGGATAAAACCCATTTTTTAAAATCTAGTTTGATGTAGACGCTGTCATTAGTCGTAAACAATATATGTAAGTGATAGTCCAACTAAAGAAACTATAATCGATCATTGAGTGACGTACTTCTTACCCAAAGTCAGAAACCAAATACCAGACTAATCGACTAAACAAGACACAACTTTGAGTGTTAAACTCTGGGCTGAGACTGTTGAGTGGGTGCTGGAAATAAATCACTTTTATCAAGAAAAGAATGGGATTCACGGTTATGATTTAATGACTAATGGTTTTCGTTCGAAACCAATCAGGAACTTTTGAAAATATGAATCTGCTAAACTTATATCATAGCTCACCTTCTAGTCCGTAACTTTGCACGACTTGAGCCTTCATCACTGTCTTCAAAATAAGGGATAGGTTTTCGAGATCGATAACGATAGTTAGACGACTTTCTCTTCTTTCGAGCATTGCCACGTGAAGTACGAGAACTTTGTCGTGCAGTTGAAAGCCAACTATTGTCACTTGATGGTTGTTCGAAGTCGTCACTTGAAATACGCTTCCGAGAGTCAATATCATCCTCACTGTCTGATGGTTCAGATGATGGGGGCTTAAAATCTTCATCTTTTGCTCGACTATTTCGTCTTGCTTTGCTATTAACTGAATCTTCTTCACTTGAATGATCACTAGAAGAACTAGAAGACAGATCAGCAATGCGACGCTTTTTAGGACGAGATCGCAGGCTACTCTCGTCTTCGGATTCTTTCCAACTCGGCCCCAAAATATTTGAAAGGTCTTTTCCACGTGAACACTTAGGTGTATGACCGTTAGGCTCACATTCTTCGTTGATAACACTTTCACTGTCTACGTGATTAAGATGTTCACCAGTTTTTCGTTTTAGTTTTCGCTGTTTTTCTTCTTGGTATTTCTCGTCAGCTTCTAATGCTTCATCTAGCTCTTTGAATGCTTCGCTCATTTTATACCTAACTTGGCGTTGGCGAGTATTTCTACAAGGAAGTGGTTCATAATCAGACTCAGATGACTCTGATTCCTCAGACGTTTCTTCTCGGAAGTTTACGCGGCGTTGCCTGGAAAATTGGATCTTTGATTTGGATCGAACCTGACGACGATGCCTGTTTAGATTTTTTTGAGACCTGCCGTCAACACCGGAATCAGTATTTGAATTGGTATTTTTAGTATCCGAATGAGATACAGAAACCACATCTTCATTCTCTTCATCACTACACGAATTATCATAAGCATACTTAACATCGTTTTTTTGAGTATTACGCAGTACTTTTCCTTTCTTGTTTCGACGCTCATGATAATCACTATCATCATCTCCCAGAATGTTCGTCATACTGATATTCACGAAATTCAGGCGTTCTTGCATACGCTTCCAAATATTTCGTTTCTTCGATTCGGCTTCAAGAACGGAAATCGTTTCGTTTAAGGCTGATATAAGCGTAGTGTGTTGACAACGAGGACAAAACCAGTCACCTTCTGGAATAATATGTAAAGGAGGTGAAAGACACATAGCATGATGTCCCAAATCGCATCGGTCACATAACAACATCCAATCAGGTAAATGTGACTTAAAGCACACCTGACACGGTTCTTCCTTTTCGTCTGCGTTACAATTGGTACTTGGATTTGATTCAAACTTCTTTTGCAGACGTTTTTGCCTGGCCAGATTCCGTCCATCGGTTACACTGTCAGCATCACTTTGAATATCCAACCCGTTTGGATCAAAGTCACTTTCAGGAGCGTCTGACCACTCAGAACTTATGCGCTTCTTCGGCTTTGTTGGCGAATGAGGATTTGAGTCATCACTATCCACATCTAAGTGTTGCATAAGTGCCTTTTCAAATGAGTCGTCTTCACCATCTGAGTCACTAGAAGATGTTTCATAAATCCAAGGGTTTGAACCCTTGCGAGGTTTTTTACGATGACGTTTCTTTTTTCTCTTTTGACTTTTGTCTATTACATGACCATTTGCAGTGAGATGTATTTTTACGACAGGTATTTTTTGCTTTTTAGGTTTTTCGTCTTCGTTATTAACTTTTTGTAATGAGTTTGAAGCTGAAGTCGGTAATTTAGAACGTTTAGACTGAGTTGGCTGGATGTTGAATACCTGAACAGGTTTCCGCTGCCTACTACTGCGTCGTAAATCTTGTTCATGAATAACACTCTCTGAGGAGTTTTTAATGGAGCTATTTTTACGAGGCTTTTTTAGTTCATTGTCTGATAAAACAGGAGTATATTGTAGTACAGGTGATTTGTGATTTTGATCCATATGTTCATTGTATTCATCTTCTGGTCTTAGAACTAGTTCAGTGGTACATTCTGGCTTGATTTGATATTCTTTGCTAAAGTAATTTAAATGAAATTGTATATTTATTATCTTTAATAATGATTAGTAAAATGATGTAGTTTCAAAAGTATATATTACATGAATAATTGATCTGCAGTGACATTGTTTAGTATTCGGTAACAGCTGTCTGCCAGTTTTACTCTGCATTCAGCAATAGTTTAAATACACAAAAAACAGTTCCTACACAAAAAATAAGTTGAAATCGACTATTTGTTAGCGACATCAGGTGATATATAAACAACCGATGTTTTCATGTATACAACAAAAATATTGACTTAGGCATTTGAAGATATACGACATCAGATTTACATATGATCAATATGAAACATAGAAGTCAAACAAGTTGTTTTACACTGTAAAATATGCAGCACAGTAAGGCGTATTCTGGTACGTTATCTAGTTGCGAGATAGTGTTCAGGTAAAAATTTATTTGAGGATACGAAAAAAAGATGTAATAACCTTGGGTTTTGATACTAGATATGGTTTTTTGGGTACTATTTCGCCTTTACTTCAACTGTAAAATGAAGGTTTACAGGTGAAGTCGATGGGTGATAGGTAAATATAAAAAACCAAACTCCTATTTCATTGTCTTTATATATTGTATATGCACTACTTCGGACAAGTGAAAAGCCAAGGACAAATACTAGTCCAAGAATTAAATAACTATACAGTAAAACAATTTAGTTAATAGGGAAATAGACATACTTCGTATCAGGACAATTTTGTTTCAGCTCATCTATTTGCACGATATTATCATTGTGATCGTCTGCTTTTTCTATGCTGTTAGAAACTATTTCATTGTTTGACTCAATTTCTTGATTTTCAGTTTTGATCGAATGGTTTGCTTTTGAAACTGCTAGCAGCATATCTACCGAATGGATAGTTGGTTTTTGATCGCAAGTAGGGGTTGGGGGTGGTGTGACCGTAGGTTTAAAACATTCATTTGAATGAAGTGAGGGTGAAACGATGGAATCCTCATCATTTTTCGAAACTTCAAGTTCCGGAGAAGCAACATTATCCTGTATCAAGTTCGTCCAGTGATCTTTTAGATTTGATCTATCTGAAGTTTGTTTCTTCTTAAGAATACTTTCCAGCTTTTCATCTTCCGAAAAAGCTTTCTTCAACTCCTCGATGAGATCACGCACATCGTCAAAAGATTCACACAACAACTTTGTAAAAACAAAATAAGAAAAAGACAAATTAGTTGCGCTGAACTAACACGGTTGAATAAATTAGGACCATAATACTAAATATACCGATCTACTAGTGATAGTGACTTCGACCCTAAAATTTTAATGGAAATGAAGGATAATAAGACCACTGAAATTTTTATTTTCATCAAACAGATGATATTTCTTCAGGTGTTTACTATAAAAAATTCCTAGGAAGCGAACCAAAACATTCGTTTGAGTTATAGTCTTTCATAAGAAACATTTATATTCGATGTAGAGGGGTTGTTTAATTAATGAATCTAATGCGCGAGAAATGTTTACGTAATCTGCCTGGAGTAATAATGTTTATTTTATTCCATGTGATGCTGGACGATTACTTACGCCAGTTACCCCCGATAGAGTATAGGCCACCAATACGCATTATTCAACAGAATCTGTCCTGAGCTGTCTTCTCCAGCTCTATCCAGTTGCTGTTCTCTCTTTCCATGTCTTTTTCCGATTCTCACCATAGTGTGTGATTTCGTCTGCCTATTTTGCATTGGACTTCAAGTTTCCAAATGAAGTATAGTTTTGTGACACAGTTGGGTGCTTTTTTTAATGTGTCCTATCTATGGTGGCTGGCCAACGGATCCCAAAGTTTCTCCATTAGGAGTGATTTGGTTGGCGCATGTTGAATTGTGTCGAGGGATTTCGCTTTTTCTTTTGTAGAGACAACAGATAATGGCGTCCGACTGTTGCAACTGTACTCAGAAAATCGCCTGTTCCTAGCAAACACTAACATTAGGCATAAGGGAAAACATCTTTTGACCTGGCGACCCCAAAAGTCGTTTCAACGTTGGACCTAACTAGATCACATTGCCAGAAGCCACCAAAAGAGGGGTTCAATAGAAGACTGTCGCTCGTTCCGTGGCACATGTCAAGATTCAGATCATGCCTTTGTGAGAGCGCGTATTTGTTTGAGGCTTACTGGACGAATGAAAGACACTGCAAGGAAACCTGTTGAGGTCCTGCTTGATGATAACATGGCTAGGAATATATTTCAGGAGTAACTAGAAAAACAGTTAGGCCACAATGTAAGTGATTCCCATCCGGAAATAGCTCGGAATGATATCAAAAAGGCTGTGGAAACAGCAGTGATATCTGCTAGAAAGATAAACCATAAGGTTAGTGAGAAGCGGTGGGTTTCAGCAGCATCTACTGAACTGATAGACGATCGTAAACTCATCTCGCCTGTTTGTGAGCATGAAGAATAGCGATGTCAGCTTAGGCGAAGGCTGATAAAAAGCCTACGGAATGATCGCGAACAGTGGTGGATAGCGAAAGCAAGAGCGATATGTAACAATAGACAAGTGTTCCGACTTATCACGTAAACCGGTATTAGGAATCCGAATGTGAGTGAGACTATCTCGGAAAAGGATAGGACTACTATTCATCCTCAATTCAGGAGATTGAATCGATGAGCAGAACACTTTAGGGATCAATTCAACTGGCCTTCAGCCACACTTCGGTTGCCCACGATCTCCAGTCTTCGTGAATGGCAAGTCGACGTAAGCCCTCCGAATCATCATGAATCTAAGAAAACTATAGGGAATCTAAAGCGAGAGAGAGCAGCAGGTCCTGATAGGCTAACTCTTGACGGTGGTCCAGCTTTAGCAGCTAGATTGACCCAAATCTTAGTTAGAATCTGGGAACAGCGTAATACCATCTGACTGGTTTCATTCGCTGATTGTCCCAATTTACAAGAAAGGACAAAAGTCCTCTTGTGACAGTCACTGAAAAATCAGTCTATCTATTATAGTGACTAAGTTGTTAGCCTCGCCAATACTTCGACGCCTAACTAGAGCTCATGAAAAGCAGACTCGAGAAAACCAGGCTGGTTTCAGACCTGGACGTGGTTGTATAGACCAGATATTCACACTACGTCAGGTCCTACAACAAAGACACGTTCAGACGCCCCACAATAGTAGTGTTTCTCGACCTAAAGGCGGCATTTGACTCTGTGGATCGTGAGGTTCTGTAACAGTGTCTGCCGTTAAAAGGTTTTTACCAAATAAATACACTAAGTTTATACAAGCTCTGTACTCGAACACCATTGGTCGTGTGACAGCCTATGGCGAACTGTGATCGGAATTCTCTACTTTAAGTGGTGTCCGTCAGGGTTGTCCATGCGATGAGGTAGTTCTACTTGGTGACGACACCGGGATGCGATTCTCTCCGTCAAAATGCAAAATGCTGCTTCAGATTCTAGTTCTTGAATAATATTTTCCAACCCTAATCTTTTCGATTACTACTAATACCTTACTGCCTCTACTAATATGGGATTTAAATTAATGATTACATCTCTGTGCTATTGTGTTACGGCAACTACTCGTAAACCAAATGTCGTCCCGCGAATGCCACTAAAGGCCGTTGGTGCTACGAGTCCTACAGACAGTTCTCTTGTGTCGTGCAAAATGCTCATTAATGTTCATTTCTCCATGTACCCCTTTATCCTCCTCTACTAATCAACAGAAAATTCTCATTCTTTGTAAAGCTCTGAATGACATATTGTTATATTTTTACTGCAGAAACTGCCTGAATTTCAAGTTCATATTTTCTTAAAACGACAATCTATCATTACAATAAAAATAATGTTTTATAAGTTATTTGAAACTTTATATTTCTTAACATGACTATTTTACACTTACAGTTTAACCCAATCATGTATTGAACCTTTGAAAGCTCAACTAGAAGAATTAGAACAATACGCTAAAGAAAAAGAGAAAGCTATCGTTAAATGCAAAGCTAAAATAATTCATAACAATGAGCGCATGCAAAATTTGTTGTTTAAATCGTTGGAAAAAGTCTTATAAACATTCACTCAGAGCAGAATAAAATGATGACCAAGTTGCTTTTTCATATGAGCATTCTGTTTATCAAAGTGTCACATATTCCCTCCAGCTTTACGGCTATTTTCTTCATACTATATTAAACTCATCTTTTTTCAAAACATGAGCCTGAAGTATTTGGGGCTATCTTAAACAACATCTCACCGAAACAGCTGTATCCATTTCAGTCACTAAATAATTGTATATTATTTACTAACAGGTAATATGAAGCTAATAAGCGGTTCGAATAAATTATGATCTTCCTTACTGATTCTTTTAAACTGTTTTATGGTATTAGTTATTTTGCACTTTACCAAAATAATCTTTCTCTGTTCATTTCAGTCCAACATTTTAAGTCCCAATTGTTTTCCCCAAATATCCTTATACCCTATTTATCAAGAGGACGACTAGATTTATTATCTCATCGTTTAATGTCTTATGAAGAGATGTGTGATCTCATTAAAAACACTTTACTTTTACCAATTTAATATTGTTTTCAAATTAATTTCGTAAAGCTTGAAAGTGACATTTGTTGTACTGATTCGATACATTTATTATTGGGTATTGATCAATACCATTTGTTGATGACTTTATAAAACAAATTATTTGTCAGGTTTAATGTTACCCGTTGTATCCATAAATGATTGGGCGGGTTAAAACTGGAAACTGCAACGAACTCGAACTTATTCAGTATAAAAAGCTGAAGATCATCCCTAAGATTTATATCTTTTAGTCGTGTATCATAAGAATTTATGGAATCAAAACCACTATTATGTGAACACCCATAAAAGACAATACAACTCCAAGACATAGGTCAAGGATATAACTTAGTTAATAATTTTAATGGTAAGCATTCAGCAAAGGGTCTCCTCATTCGTATATCATTATTTTTTTGACAGGTTCATGGAAATTGTACTACATAATAAAAAATTACAGCAATTAGATTGCAGTGACATGATTTCTTACTTGTTTTTATAGCCATCCAACTCAAGCTTAGTGCTGGGTTAGCCATGAGGTGAGATACTTCTAATACGTTTTCATTGCAGAGTAATGGGCTTGACATGTGAAAAGTAGGTGTATTATGAAATTAACTGCTTTCTTTAAAACTAGGTAGTGACCATCATTTAAGTTGTGAAACAAGCATATTCATAGAGATAAACACTTTTTAAAGGTCAAATACAAGATTCTTTAACCCTATTATAGCAAATGGTAGTTAATGAGGAGACTTTGCGCTTACAAATCCGAAAATGCAACGTTAGGTTGTCATGAGCATCTATTCACTTATTTTCGGGAGTACATCATGCTTTTCTAATGTTTTTAAGACTGTTAAAGGCGGCAAAATATTTTACTCTGAAAGTCAAACCCCAGACATCGTACTAACACTATTATGACGACGATTTGAAAAATATAAACTGTTAAACTCTGTATATTTCCTAAAGACTGATTATATTAAGAAATGCCAGTCTGAAAGTATAATATTCGTACTTTGGATATGTTTACTGAAGCAATATTCTGGTGACCAACTGTTTTAGCCATATAAAATAAAAGACGTATACATGCGATCAAGCACAGACATATAAGAATTTTCACGGTTACGAACTAGTAATCGATATAGTCGAATGTAGAGAGTTACTAAGGGTTTCTGGATAATTCAATGTCCAATATCTTTTTCACGAGCTATAAACCAGTTGATTTGTTCGCTCTCGATTCTTGTTCTTTCGGCAAGGTTCAGGGTGTTTGGTGGTGTCCAATAAATGGGGTTCTGGCCACTCGACTGTCTAATTCTAAGCAGTTGGTTGTGAGTTTCTTTGTCTCGTGATTTGAATGAAAACGTTTGTTTCAGGGCTGTAGGGTTTCTGGATACCAGCAGTTATCACATTACCAGACCGGAGATAAGTTATTTGCAATGTAGGAAATAATAAGGATGAAATTCTAATGCCAATATGAAAATGAAATCAATAGATAATTTAGTTTATTAATTGGTTGAGAAGATTGTTAGGGAGGACCGAAGTGTAAGCAAGGAAGAGGAAATAGAGATATCAGGCGAAATAGACTAAGTTTTCCAAAGCCGTCCACTGATGGGTCTGTGGTCATCTCGTCTGGGAGAGCATTCCAAGTTGCGACTACTCTTAATCAGAAAAAGGATTTTAGTTTCCTTAGTACTAAGTAAGGAGTGATACGGATGTTCCCTAAGCCGTCAGCTGGCACTGGGTTTGCGTAGTACTCTGAACTTGTGAATGTCTGATTTAACTGCCCAATAAAGTTAGTGTTGAAGATCTCAGCCATCTCTAGATTGGTGAGTTCTTCCCTGTTCGGTCCAGCACTTGACTAGTAGGTTTTCTTTTGGACATGAATCTGAACAGATGCTTCGGGTTTGTCCGTATTTTAGCAGCTGGCTTCATCTGAAATTGCCTCCTGTCACTTCGAACTTTCGTATTGCATCTGTTTCGCAATGCCAAGTAAGAACTGCGATCGGAACCCTCCAAGGAGACCTTCCACTTGTGCCAGGCTCTCCTCTTCGCCTGTAGCAAGCGTTCAGTGCCGCGCTTAGCCAATGCTCTTCTATTTCCGGGTGCGTGGTGTGACTGAGGTACATTGTCTACGACAGCATTTTGATGATATCTCTCACTGTTTGCCAGTGATCATCTACTGTTAGCCGCCACCGCTGCCGCGGCCATGGAGCATGTAGAAGGATCTCGCCCATACACGTACAGTTTGCCCAAGTGTAGCATAGATGGGGCTCGTTTTCGTCCTGTGTGGGTGTTTCGTTTATGACCATGCTAAACAAGACTGTGCCATGGTCATTACTACCCATTGGTGTATGAACGTGGACATCCTCAACCAGGAGCTAGTCATTTGTTAACAGAAAATGCAGGTTTGAGGACTTTCCTTCCTTAACCCACCTAGGGGCACTGCATACGTGTTCAGTAAGCCCAGAGCTTCTAATGGCTGAGCCAAGTCGTCTTTGGAACCTACCAGTGTGAGTTGTGCCCTGATAGCTGAGATTTAGAGATAGAGTGTCGAAATCTCCAGCTTGGAGTATTTGATCAAACTCAAGGAGTGCGCTTTAGTACCTGGAAAAGGTCGGTAAATCCCTCCAATCAATTATTTCCTGCCATTTTTGTGGGAAAAACACCAACCTCACCTCATTTAGTTGAGTGTCGTGTAGCCGCTCGGCTTTTAAATTGTTGTTTATATATATATACATAGCCACTCCGCCTCCTGCTTTGTGCACCCCATCGCTTCGGAGGTGTCATGCCTTGCAAGCTCACTTCGTCGTCTTCAATGTCAGGGGATAGCCATGTTTCACCCGGGATTATGATCTTCAGATCCATCTGCGAGCACAAATTCTTGATTTCTGATAGATTACCCCTTAGTCCTCTTAATGAGCCACTTGGTTGTTTTTCCCATCACCTGATGCAGCTCTGCAGCAACAGCTGTTTTCGGGTTATCAAACAAGTTGTTCAAAACGAGTTGGCCAGTTCTGTGGTAACTGGCCTCTGCAGGTTTTTCGCCTGTGAACTGAATTCAGTCGGCGAGGCTTTTATCTTCGTGTCTTGTGCCAAAAGTTGTCGGTCGAGGTCAACTGTCAGTTTCGTGCGTTTATTGTGGCCTCCCTGCTTTCGTCTCACAGATCTAGGTCGGCCTTCGCAACACCTGATGTGGCCAGACAGGTCGTTCTTAGAACTGGAGTGCTTCAGTCAGGTCTTCCTGGTTCCTGAATGTCACAGACATCAGACGTGATGGCTTAATGGATGTGGGTTGTGACGAGTGGGGCAACCTAGAAGTGCAAACAGCCATCGTGGTCTGAAGGTCTGTACTACGTGATAGCCATCGCGACTGTTACACATTGTACACGTGAGCTTCGTCCAGGCTACCGCTAGCGAGTTTTGGTATGCCGTGAGCTGCCATGATGACCTGCTCTTGGATGCCCGGTGTTGTTCTGGGTGCCGCCCGTACCAACCATGGTTTACCATGCCTGATGCGAATTGCGGAGGACAATCTGAGAGAGGATCTTTGGGATGAGAAGAGGATGTCTTTGGCAAGTCGTGCGGAGTGTAGTTACCCTAATTTGAGGGGGTTTCCCTTCCGAGACATTCTAAACTTTGAAAAGGAGGCATATTTTAGCTGGGGAATCCTACATTCCGAGTATTACGCAGTATTTATTGCACCGTTCTTTGTCAAAAGCAGCCCTACCTTCTAGTGAGGTACCTTCCGACACTGGACATTAAATAAAATGAGCCGATTTATTCTATTGTCCCCGTCCTTGAGTGGTAGCTGCTTGTGGGTTGTGGTGTTGCCATTCCCGTTCTTCAAATCCACCCACTGTTTTGTATTGTTTACAGATACTGTGGATTAACAGCAACCGGCAGTTTCATCGGTGTTTTAGTTAAGGTTTTGGTTGCCTTGGTCACCAGTTTCACCGGTTTAGTGCCAAGCAATTTTAGTTTGTCCGTTTGGACTTCTGAGCTGATTTCGGGTGGGGCCTGTGGCTCCAACAATGACTCAGATACTGTTTACCGTGGGCAGGCATACCAGAGACACAGGCAGGGGTGACTCAACATGAATCCATAGTACTCCCTAATTACTGTAGTGTCGCGGTGACAATGGACCCATGTACTGCGGAAATCGCATTCAAAAGCAGTCACTGATTTTGACTGGCATTGAGCAGGCGAAACAGTCATCTTAATACGGTTTCTGTACAACAGACTTTGTCGACTGAGCTTTGAGACGCCTTTTCAACCTATTCTTAACTAGCCTACTAGTCGTTTTAGGAATAGGATTCGGAGAAAAGATGTCTTTCTTCCACTGTATGTGACCTGTCACTTGAGACTGGGATTTTCGACTCACTATCGACCCCGAAGTTATTACTTCTTCAGGTCTTACTGGTTGTTATAGTGTAAGATGTGCTAGCAGTCTTATTATTTAACATGATACTAGAGAGATTTAGAGGTGAAAGCCGAGATAATTAAGATACCAAATACATGAAATAGGAATTTAGGAAGTCCAAGTGGAACTTTAATTGTTGCTTTCAACAACATTAGCACAATTTTTAGGCAGAAGTGAGGTATTTAAATTTTGCCACACACGACTTGCAGCTTGTCTTGTCGACCTCTGTCTTGATCATTAACCATTACAAATTTAAGATGTTTTTCTTGACAGTTTTAAAAGTAATCAACTAATGTTTAACATTCAGTCACAATGATTGTGATATTGTCTATATCCAGACGTTTACCGAAAAACCTTAAGTAGAAACTGAAAATGTGAAGCACTAATAATTTTCTTACCAGACTTTTTTGATAACAAGGTTTTAACGTTAAATCTATTGTCTTGTTTTACAAAAGAAGAATCATTGTACCATGCATTCCTTAGATAAAATAAGATGTAAACTCTGACTGGAGGACTATCAAATGCATCCTTTTTGCCTAGCGATAGTCGTCAGATAGTCGGTTGTAAAGTAGAACTCCACACATGAGTAAATAAGTTCAAGTTGACATACCCTATTAGCACAGAAACGCAAATGTCAGTTTGGTTACCACTGTGGCGAAGATAGTAGAAGTATTAGCAGTTATTCAGAATATTGCGGTTCCATTATATTATTCCACAAGTATAATTCAGTGAGATAAGTTTAGAAAGAGAAACGTAGAGGTGATGACAAATTCAGAAGATTAGAATTTGTGAGACGACTAAGAGTAGATGCACCTGCGCCATTGTAAACGATTTTGAGCCATATCATTCAAGATCTGTAACCATCGGTTACTATCGTCTCGCGGACCCAAACCAGGTAGTCTGCATCTACATCTACGTGAC